ATCCGCCAATGCGAGGCACCCGCCGCCGATCGGCATGCATTTAGTCCACAAAGTTTGTCGACCCCGGCTCTCAATGAAGATCTACGAACCGATCAAAATTTCATTGGCGTTCTTCCAGCGCGCGCCACGTGCCAACCGTGCACCCCAGCGAGTCGGAACCTAGAAAAGGCGCTGACCCGCTCTGTCACCTAGAAGGTGTGCAAATTTCAACCCCCTACGTCGTACCGTCTGCCCTGAAGCCGTAACAAATTGAACCCACTACACGGCGTGGCGGACACACACACACACTCACAGACAGACGGATTCTGTTAGAATAGTAAGTTAGACAAGCGGCTGCGCCACTTGCTTTGCTGCGTGGTAGGAAAAAATTGCGGCACCGGCCAATTTGCTTTCGAATGGTGTTCGATTCAAATCGATGTGTCGTCTAGAAGCATAGATATGGACGGAAATGTGAAGAAAATTTAAAAAAGAACTATTCTGAGGCCTTTGGATGAAATTTGGCTGATACGGGGTCAAGACGGGTCAAAGGGGTCAGCCCCGGTCACTTTGGGTGAGGCCAGGTCACAAAGGTCACCTCTCGTCCGATGGGATCAGCCCGGGCCACTGTTCAACTTTTGCCTCCACCACTACCCCTAACACTACCCCTACCCCTACCACTACCCCTACCACTACCCCTACCCCTACCACTACCCCTACCCCTACCCCTACCACTGCATCTACCACTACCACTACCCCTACCCCTACCACTACTACTACCCATACTATTATCCCTACCACTACCCCTACCACTACCCCTACCACTACCCCTACCCCTACTACTACTCCTACCCCTACCACTACCACTACCCCTACCACTACCACTACCCCTACCACTACCCCTACCCCTACCAACACCGCCGGGTCATGTCAGGTCACAGAATAATTGGATCCAATCAGTACTAAAATATCAGACTTAAAGTGTTCCCAGCCCTGCCCCTATTCGTGCCAACCCATTACGCTTACTCGATTTTGTCGGAAATGGCGCTTTGTGGCAAATGTGGCGCATTGCGACAAACGCGGCGCATTTTCACCCGGTGATTGAGCATGCATCTTTGCACCAAATTGCACCCGTATCGGACCATATTTGACAAAATTGTGCGATTTGCTGCAAAAATGACGCCCTGTGACCAATGTGACGCATTGCGGCAAACGCGGTTCATTTGTATACTCGCATCACAAACTGTTTCCATCGAACGAAAATCAACACATTTTTTCGCCACCATTTATCAAAATCAATAATTTCACCATCCTTCAATGCGAGGCACCCGCCACCGATCGGCATGCATTTAGTCCACAAAGTTTGTCGACCCCGGCTCTCAATGAAGATCTACGAACCGATCAAAATTTCATTGGCGTTCTTCCAGCGCGCCCCACGCGCAAACCGTGCACCCCAGCGAATCGGAACCTAGAAAAGGCGCTGACCCACTCTGTCACCTATAAGGTGTGCAAATTTCAACCCCCTGCGCCGTACCGTCTGCCCTGTAGGCCGGCTAAATTGAACCCACTACACGGCGTGGCGGACAAACAGACAGACAGATGGATCCTGTTGAAATAGTAATATAGACAAGCGGCTGCGCCACTTGCTTTGCTGCGTGGTAGGAAAAAATTGCGGCACCGGCCAATTTGCTTTCGAATGGTGTTCGATTCAAATCGATGTGTCGTCTAGAAGCATAGATATGGACGAAAATGTGAAGAGAATAAAAAAAACTGTTCTGAGGGCTTCGTTGGATGAAAGTGGGGTGATACGGGGTCAAGACGGGTCAAAGGGGTCAGCCCCGGTCACTTTGGGTTAGGCCAGGTCACCTAGGTCACCTCTCGTCCGATGGGATCAGCCCGGGCCACTGTTTAACTTTTGCCTCCACCACTACCCCTACCACTACCCCTACCACTACCCCTACCACTACCCCTACCCTTACCCCTACCCTTACCCCTACCACTACCCCTACCACTACCCCTACCACTACCCCTAACCCTACCCCTAACACTACATCTACCACTACCACTACCCCTACCACTACTACTACCCATACTCCTACCTCTACCACTACCCCTACTACTACCCCTACCACTATCCCTACTACTACCCCTACCACTACCCCTACCCCTACTACTACCCCTACCACTACCCCTACCCCTACCACTACTCCTACCACTACTCCTACCACTACCACTACCCTACCCCTACCCCTATCCCTACTACTACTACTACTACTACCCCTACCCCTACCACTACCACTACCCCTACCCCTACCACTACCACTGCCTACCACTGGGTCATGTCAGCTCACATAATAATTGGATCCATTTAACTTTTTTTTTTAATCAGACTTTAAAAGTGCTTCTAGCCCTGCTCCTATTCGTGCCATTCCATTAGCCTTAGTCGAGTTTGTCGGAAATGGCGCCTTGTGACAAAAGTGGCGCATTGCGGCAAACGCGGCGCATTTTTACCCGGTGGATGAGCATGCATCTTTGCACCAAATTGCACCCACATCGGACCATATTTGACAAAACTGTGCGATTCGGGGCAAAAATGACGCCCTGTGACCAATGTGACGCCTTGCGGCAAACGCGGTGCATTTTTATACTTGTATCATCAACTGCTCCCATTGAAAGAAAATCAGCACATTCTCTCGCCACTTTTTATTCAAATTAAAAACTTGCCCATCCGCCAATGCGAGGCACCCGCCACCGATCGGCATGCATTTAGTCCACAAAGTTTGTCGACCCCGGCTCTCAATGAAGATCTACGAACCGATCAAAATTTCATTGGCGTTCTTCCGGCGCCCGCCACGTGCCAACCGTGCACCCCAGCGAGTCGAAACCTAGAAAAGGCGCTGACCCGTGACGTCACCTAGAAGGTGTGCAAATTTCAACCCCCTACGCCGTACCATCTGCCGTGTAGGTGAGGTTAATTGAACCCACTACACGATGTGCGGACACACAGACTCACAGACAGACGGATCCTGTTCAAATAGTAAGTTAGATGCTAAATGTAATACACACCTGTGTTCTTGTGCCTAAATTTAGACCCAAGCAAGCATGAGTTCAGACATTATTTGGATGCAGTCTCGTCCACTTCCCACACGCTTGAATGTAACTCGAATGTATGTAAATTGAATGTAACGAAGGTGGTCCGGTCCAGCATTAGGAGGGTGCGTGCTTTGGTTTCATCAGTTCGAATAACTTTTCGTTGGAGGACCCACATCTGCAAACACTCCTGCCTGGGTGTCAGAGATAGCGTTATAGACTTCCCAAACCCAGATGACGTGCGATCCACAGGAGATGCGTAACTTCCTGCACCAATTTCACTGTTTGATCGAGCCAGGATACCGCGGGTCTGAGTAGGCGACCTTCGGTTACCTCCCGAGATTCTTATAGTGCAGCATTAAATTTCCTATGGTTAAGTATATATATAAACGTATTATTCAGATTGCCTGTTTAAATACAAAGCAAATAAAAGATGATTGACGCTTTTCAGCCTGCACTTTTAAGCGACTTGAGAAAGTTTTCAAGTAATATCACCAATCACCATCCTGGTCCTGAAGCGGCCTGTCGTCACACAGCTCCAGCCCTGCCCTGGCCGTCTTCGGCTCCTCCTCTCGCGCCGACACCGTTCGCTTCCGCCGCCGCCAGCGGCCACCCGGCCGGCCATCGGATGAATTGATTACACCCGCGGCCGTGTAATTTCGATCAAACGCCGGCGAACCCAATCTATTAGGCAGGAATCCGACGCCACCGGCCGGGCGTCCCGACTCGGGTCGCGCCGGAGTCACGAGAGATGACTCGGGAGGTGACTCGGGAGGTGACTAGATAGGTGATTCGAAAAGGGACTGTGGAGATGACTCTGAAGGTGACTATGGGAGCTGTCTTAGAGGGTGACTCAGGATGAATTAGGAGGCGATTTGAGAGTTAAATTGGGGATCACCGGGAGCTGAATTGGATTGCTAGGTGAATTAGAAAATGAATTGGAAACTGGAAAGTGAATAGGAATTAACTTGAAGTTAGCGTGAGAGCTCGAATGTGATTCAAGTTATCACCAGAGAGGCTACCCAGTAGTTAGATGAGCTTGAGCTACGCTGCTTATGATCTCGAAGGTTTCTTGAATGAAGACTGGATAAATTTTTAATGATGGCTTTGCATTCGAATCGGCTATAGATTGCTTGGAAGTTGGAACATCATATACATAGACGGTGACTTGATCATACCGAGGAAGTGATGGGCGGCATGGGAAGCGACTCGAGCCGTGCCTTTGAAGGTGACACGTGTAACAGCTCGTCGGTGACCGTCGCATGACTCACTGGTGACTCAGTAAGCCGGCGGCGAAGTCAGACGCGAGGGACGTGCGTTCGATCCCCGACGGGAGCTTATAGTTCCCGCGGCCGCCGGACGTGCCGAGTGCCGACCACACCGGGACGGCGCTGGGACCCGGCGGAGACCCACTGGAGTCGTCGAACGCCGGGATCGGTCGTCCCCAGTGGACTAATTGACGTGTGGAGCGGATAATGGCGGGTGTGGAGCGGGGAACACCATTCGGTGGCCGGCCGGCGAGGTAATTTGACTGCACCGTTAGCGGGGACCGGCCCGGTCCCGGGCCTTTGACAGAAAACGGCCGCGCCAGGATTTTGAACATTACGGGAAGACAATGCTCGGGGCTAAGGGCGACGAACTTTGTGATTTGTGTCGATGTGTTGTGGGTGATACGTGCTGTCAGATTCGACGGAATAATGGAATGTTACAAGCTTCTTTTCAACCTCGGTGGATCAGCTGTCTTTAACGGTTGAATCGAAGCATTTAATAATTTGAAAATGGTCAGCAGCACCGCATGGCTGTAGGACAGGTTTTCGGTATGAAACAAGGCCGTTTAAGAAGTATGAAATCTGGTGTAGCATTTGGATCCCAAATTACATAAAGATTGCATATCACCACGGCCGTCCTGCTGATCTCGTGCTGCTGCTCGGCAGGTCACCTGAAGCTGCGCATCTACGAGAACTGCGGCCTGCTCACCGTGCACGTCATGCGCGCACGGAAACTGCGCTCACGCTCGGCAGAGCTCTGCAACGTATACGTCAAGGTACAGTGGCAGCAAACTTACGGCCAACCTCATACGTGACATAGCCTCTTCTCGTCAAAACACGCGTAAAGCAAAACGGCAATGACATCTGTATCGATGCCAGACGGACTTGTATTGAAACGGTGCAGCAGGCGGCCAACACGGATACAGGAAATTAATTAATTGTGACATAATGTAAATGAATGAAGAAATGAAAACACACCCATATAATTTTTGTCTAGCAGGGTCAATAAGGAATGCACTCTTGCTATCAACCCTCGCCCGCACATGCCATTTTCCCATCCTAGAACGCACATGGGGGGGGGTTGCCACCCCCCCCCCCCGCGCCATTTCGTTCCTGTTGGAGATAGAGCTTAGCAGTAGAGACCAAAAAGATTCTTTGGGAAGAGACGAATCCAATGATACCCAGTTTTACCTTCTCAGGTCAGTCATTGACCTTCCAGGTCAGGTCAAACTAAAAAATGTTGCTGTTTTGGGTCACCGTTGGATATCAAGTGCGCTGCTTATCAAATACCGATGACGATGCTGTTTTCTGGTGCCAAGCCAGCTAGAACCTCTTTGTCACACTATCCGACCAGATTTTTGCTGCTGAGGTCATTTCAGGTCAAGTTAGGTCAAGGTCAATTATATGTGTTTGTATGTCTGTGTGTGTCTGTGTGTATACTGATGTGTGCACCGATTGTTTTTGGGTCCATATCACATGAAATCATGATCTGAGAAGCTTTTACCAAAAATGCAGTCAAAAAACTTCACAAAAAGTAGATTCAGCTTGCCTAAAACGCAATTATCTTAGATGACCTAGGTTGACCTTGACCCTGACCTTGACCCCTGTACATCGTCGAACAACATGTTCCATGATAGGTGGGAGGTAAGACTGGCAAAAAAGGCCGAAATCAGGGTGTCAAAAGCTCACAAGGCCCATGGCAAACGCAAGATGTTGAGAATTGGCCATTTGGGTCATGACATGACCTGAAAAACAAGGTCATATCTCCGAAACAAAAAATCACAGAATCTTGAAATTTTCAGTGGACATCAAGAAAGGATAGACGAGCAGCTATACGAAAAATCAGCCTTCTAGCTCTAAAAATGTTGAGTGCAGAGCAGAAAGACTGCCTGGGGGGGGGGGGGGGGGTGGCAACCACCACCCCCCATGTGCGGGCGAGGGTCAAGCTACTGGTACAACGAATATAATGTTCGAGATCGAACGATAAAACAAATTGTTCCTCAGTGCACACCTAAGAGCGTACTGTACTTACGTAATGCATCTTGCTTAGCGTGACATGGGTGGCCTATCACGGTATATCTACCGTGGTCCGATAACGGGCCGCTGGAGCTAAATATCAATTAGCTGTACGCGATATTGCCCGCTCAATATACCATCAGGGCACCAATCAATAAGTAGCTGCGTACGCTGTCCGTGAATTAGGCGACATCAGCCGGTACCTACAAATCACCTGACTGATGACTGCAGAACTTATTGATCATTCCATGGTGAAAGTGAAATTAAAAGTTGTAAGGTTCTTGTTTCTGATACCTGCTTCCAGTATCGTCTCAAATGAATTCAGCACTGCTTCACCGTCCCATGTTGTCTGGCATCTCGGTACTCAGCCGACAGCCATATTCATTTTTTTTTTTTAGCGTTCAGTTGCTTGCAGTGTTTTGCAACTATTTCAATTTTTATCACAATATAGGGGAAGTTGGGGGAACGCCGAATACTTTTTTTCTGACACCCGTAGCACGCAAGGTAGACAACATAAGCTATTCTTGTTGGCGTCATTCGAGAGGCCAGTCTTTTATCTTTCAAACATACCAGGCGCATTTGATGAATTCGCATACCGTTAAGCGCAAAAACTAAAAATATCAAAGAACTGACTTTTTCGGCGTTGCCCCGGACTGCGGGGAAAGCCGAAAATGGGATAAATGATCTACGAGGAATGCCGACATTGATTTTTTGCCAATTTATCTCAAACTTTATCCAAAATTCATCAAAGCTGACACGCGTTTTAAGAGCTTGAGGACGCTTGGTGCACACTGGAAGTTATAATTGTGTGATATTATAAGAAAATGCCAGGTAAATCATTCCTTATAGGTAACAGGTCGTTGTGCCGGCTGAAAGTGTAATTTGTTTGACTAAAAATACGCGTTGCTATTCTACAGCAGTAAAGTCCACGTAGCGTGCTTTAACGTGCGTAATTGCACGTTTTCGGCATTACCCCAGCCAGCCAGACTTTCATTTGCAGGCCCATAACTTTTAAACGTGCTGTATAAATTTCAAATAGGCAGCACACTTATGCAAAGACATGCTGAAGATTACTTGACCGAATTGGCCAGACAAACGGTAGCATAATGAGTAAGAAATGCAGCTTCAAAGTCGCATGTAATACAAGGAAAACGTACCTTGAAAACGCTTTTGGCGCCCTCACGGCCGAAGTATTCCAAATGACGACTCGTAACAAACATGCGATAATTGTAGTCACTAAAGCTTCAGAGCATCACTGAGACGTGGCATCCATGTCGTACGGTTTTAGAAATATCTCGAATTTCGGCTTTGCCCCAACTCCGGCATTGCCCCAACTTCCCCTAGTGGTTATAAATAGATATATAGGACAAATTGGCTTTTATTTGCCCACATAATGCATTGACCCAAATGTTATTTTAGGCGGTGCGATAGGTAGGTAAGCTCTTTGTTATACATCTTGGCTTTCCCACGGCATTGTTTGTGAGGATTTATTTTGGCATCAAGCTATACTCTTGATACAAATTAACGGAAACTTTCTTTTTCTATACACACCGGTTGCATTTGTATTGAATAATTATTTCATGACTGTCCTAATTACCTTGAAGACAACTCGAGTGTCCAGCCGCATTAACAGGTCTTTTCGCTGACAGACCGGACATGATGAGCCGGTAATTAATCAGAGACGATGAACTGAACTGCAGTGTAATTCAACCCGTCACATTTCTACTCTAATTGTTACCGGTATCCTTCCACCGTGTAGTGCTATTAATACGAACAAGATTAACCGGCAATGCTAGCACTGAGGCGATATAAACAGGAGGAGATTGGCTGAGTCAGGTTGGAGACCCGTTAAAGGTAGTGTGCCAGCTTTCTTGGACCATATGGAGTTAATGACCCGGATAAGGAGAACCGGATTTTTAGAACTTATCCATACCTTCAAAACTTATGGAAACGTCTTAAATTCTTCAAATTTTGAGTACCCCAGTGCGAAATTCGCCCCGACGGGTTGTCGGTCGTACCCCAACCACATTTCACACCACTATGAACAATAAATGCACACACTAAAATCGCTATTACCGATAGGCTCATCCAATCAAGTTTCGATAAACCCGTTCATCATCATCTCCTGCGGTTTCGAACACGCCTGTTAGGTGGCTTCTGATGCTCGTCGAGGTCGGAATTTCCAAATACGCGTGGTGCGTCGGGCCGCGCGCTCTGACTTCGGCCAAGAAAAATGCGTCAGCTGATCATTGTCATTTCTGCCACTTGCGTGTGGTGTAATGGGGTCATAACTTAAGAGACGGCTGTTTCATATCAATTATTTTACATAAAATCATATTTCAAACCACAAATTAATGTTCGACAGCCAAATTAAGAAACAATACCAATACAGGCTTACAGTTTAAGGCTCGACATTGTGTTGTCTACGATTAGACAGCTGATAACTCATTCCCGTACGTCGTATGGTCGTAACACTATAATGACCTTTGCTTATTGTCACAAGTGCGCCGCATTCGCGATTGTTGCCCGACGCCTGTTTGCAGGTGAGCCCACTACAGTTGTTATACATATCTAAAAACCGATAAACTTTTAGGCGAAAAAGGCACTATTCCAGGCCCATTTTTGATTTTTTTTGCGATATTAGGTAAAAACAGAAGCTTCTTATCCTAGGAAAAATAAAACGGGAAATCTTTCAAAGGTGGCACACTACCTTTAACAGAAACTGAAGTTCGTAATCAGGGGCGGCTACCAGTCCGCGTTTCAGGTTTCGTTTGGAGCGCCGGCCACTTATAACGCAATTATGGTAAGCTGTTCAAAACAAAAGCAATTATTCTCGCGAGGTTGCTCCGCACTTTTATTTATTCATAGTTTCGTCGGGAGGGTTAACGCGGAAATTTAGTGCTTTAGGAGAAAATAGCGTGGCCATTGATAAAGGCCTGCATCACATTATACATTCAATGTGATCCATATGGAACCAGTAACTACACTATTCCTGTGTGACCGAAATCTCCTGCATTGCCCCGTTACGTTCTTGATTTAGTCTTGGACTAGTGACTGGTCAGATTTGATTCCTCGAGTTGATTGCACCTGCTCAAAAAGACCGGTTATTCACTTTGGTTGATTGCAATGAATACCGTGATATGCATTTCAGATATAACGAGCATCAATCAAAACGAAGTGAAGTCGTGCGTAAGTGATGGGACCATATTTTATTCTAATCAAAATTGAAACCGGACACCAGCGGGGCTCAGCGTGGGTTGGCTTATTCTGCAGTGTATGCAATGCGGTACATATAATTGTGAAGGCTCATGTCTGCTGTTGCCATGTCAATGTATACCTAATCAACAGGTCGATGAGGTCATGACAGACATGATTCGCTCTACCAGTGATACCAATGCACCAGCCTTTCTCTGTTTTTCCTTGTCGATGGTTCGTATTCCTTTCGTCTGTCTGTAATAAGCTATACGCCGCCCAACAGGGTATGCCGATATTGGCAAATTCCGTCGGGACGCCGCGGCACGCGGTCCCCGGAGCCCTTCCTCGGCCCTCCACGCTATGACCCTGTTGACAGCACGCGACCTGCTCGTTATGGCGGTCACGCGCCCTTGGTGAGCCGGTGCGGCCACCGTGCCCGAAAGACGCCCTAAACGAGTACGGTGCCCGTCAGATGCCCTGAAAGAGTTCGGGCGCCCGCCAGACGCCCTGAGCTAGTTCGGGCGGCGCACGCCCTAAGGGAGCACGGGCGCCTGGTATGCGTCGGCAGTTAGCTCATCTACCGTCAGGGGTCCAGTGTTTTGAAGCACTTGCAAGGCGCCCATCAGATGCCCTCGGCGACTTGGGTTTCCGTCCGATTCAGT